ACCGGTTCGTGGCACGAACCGGGACTAAAGGTCTCAACCCCATTAGTTCCGGTTCGTGCCACAAACCGGGACTAAAAGGGAGGAGCTTTAGTCGCGATTGGCCTGGCCAACCGCGACTAAAGGCCTTTGGGCACCTTTAGTCCCGGTTGGCCTGGCCAACCGCGACTAAAGCCCGCGAGCGCCCTGGGCCCAGGCATTTGGTCGCGGTTCATCTGCCGAACCGCGACTAAAGACTTCATTAGTCGCGGTTCCTACAGTTTCGCGACTAATGGGGCTGGACGGAAGCCTCTTTTTCTATCAGTGGTCCTTGCCCGTGTAATGTTTCAATTTGCAGGAAGTCTATTACTACCAGATCTATCACATTTGTCAACTCTAGTTCTTACGTAACACCTACTCGAGACCTATTAATTTATCACCCACATCCTGCGTCTATGCCCAATGAGCAGCAGAAGCTTGTTTGGTAGTAGAAATTACATCAGAAACCACAATATTTATATACGAGTAGTTTGTTTGATTTGTGGTAGACCTGATCAAAGCATGTGCCTTACAGCACACGAACAAGTTCGTTTGAACTGCTCTAGCATGTTGCACCACATCCATGGTTGTCCCTGGCTGCTATATATGTGTACTTCCTCTGTAAACTAATATAAAAGCATTTAGAACACTAAAATAGTAATCTAAACATTCTTATATTAGTTTACGGAGGGAGTACAAATTAACGAGAGCAGACATTTTACCCTGCCGAGAGACAACAGCTACATCGTATTCTTCTCGAAATCAGACATGTATTTGAGGACAGTCTTCTCTTGGGTTCTGCTACTACTGGTGACACTGCTGTCTCCTTCGGCTAATGCCTCCAGCAAAGCAGTAAGACCGATGCTTCCTCCAAGATTTGGTTTTGCTTTTGTCTGCTTACTACTTCTATTTACTCTCTTTTTTTAGAAACTACTTTTATTTACTCCGCTTGTTCTGAAATTGTTTCATGAAACCTTTCTGATAAAAATACGCTTCAGCTCTATATTGTGTATATGGGAGAGAAGAAACATGATGATCCGTCCATGGTCACCGCGTCCCACCATGACCTACTAACCTCTGTTTTTGGAAGGTACTAGATGCTAGCTCAAATTGCGTTCTGATAAGTACAGGACACCCCAAAACACAAGTGGTTACTCATTCTTTGTTTTCCTTGAAACAGCAAGGATGAAGCCTTGAAGTCGATAGTTTACAGTTACAAGCACGGATTCTCTGGTTTTGCAGCAATGCTGACCGATTCTCAAGCCGAGACACTTATAGGTAACAATCAATCAAATCTGAGACGGAATCATTCACCATGTTGTCTAGCACTTTTCTTATAAAAGACACGCATACTAGTATCATAATGATACCAGGTACATCAGACTATATACGTTTTTGCCCGCAAAAAAAAAGAATACTAGATACGTTGTGATGCAAAAAGGTTTTCAATAAACAATATAAGAACATGTTGTCTTGCCTGATGGATACAAACCAAGGAACATGTTCCAAGTGTAGAATTCCCGGAAGTCATCAGTGTGGAGCCTAACACTTACCACCAAGTGCACACAACTCAGAGCTGGGACTTTCTTGGCCTTGGCTATGATAACAACCAACAACAACAAACGGGCCTCCTGAAAAAAGCAAATTACGGTGAAGATGTTATCATCGGTGTGGTTGATACAGGTTTGCCATTTTCTCACCTAACTCTAGTTTTTCTGAATAGGGAGATACCTCATGCCTTTGGCTCATCATCAGTGCATCATCAATATACTGGCTGATCCAAGCCTGCATGTGTGTTGTAGGCATATGGCCTGAATCACCAAGCTTTGATGACAATGGGTATGGACCGATACCTGCACGGTGGAAAGGCACGTGCCAAACCGGCGAAGCATTCAGCGCCAAGAGCTGCAACCGGAAGATCATCGGCGCCCGGTGGTACGGCCGTGGCATCAGCACAGAAGCTCTCGAGAGGGACCTCATGTCGCCTAGGGACTTCAACGGCCACGGGACGCATGTTGCATCGACTATTGCCGGCTGCCAGGTGGAGGGTGTGGGCTACGGGGGAGGCCTAGCCACTGGTGTGGCGCGTGGCGGGGCGCCGCGCGCGCGTCTGGGCATCTATAAGGTGTGCTGGGTGGGTGTGGGCTGCCCCGATGCGACGGTTCTCGCTGCCATCGATGACGCCATACAAGATGGCGTGGACGTTCTGTCGATCTCGCTGGGAGGGGGCGCCGGCCACGAGTACCCAGGGACGTTGCACGCCGTGCTACAGGGGATCTCTGTCGTGTTCTCCGGCGGGAATAATGGCCCTGTGCCGCAGACAGTGTCAAACGCCGTGCCATGGGTAACCACGGTGGCCGCCAGCACGATTGACCGAGTTTTCCCCACCCTAATCTCTCTTGGGAACAAGGAAAATTTGATGGTATGTGCGTATTTATTGATGATTTTCAACTAATTATATTCTCGTCTTGTTAAAATAGAGTGCATATTCGTTTTGCCATAATCAAACTTTGTAAACTTTGACCAAATATATAAAAATAATCATCAGTGTTTATATAATAATATCATTGAATCCATCATAAAATGGACTTTTTATATTGTATTTAATTGTTAATGTAGATGTTGATATCTTCTTCTATGATGAAAACTTTGATAAAAAGAAGATATACCCAATACTCAAAACTCTTGGCCCAAGCGTATAGAAAGATATATAGCTACCATATAAAAATGTGAGCACAAACATGTAATCGTGTATTCTGAATTATAGCCAAGCTCCTCCCATGTCGGTCATACTTTGGAATGTTTGACCTGGGACATACCTAATATACAGTACATTTCGATATGGAAGATTTAATATGTGCTGTCGATGTCGATTCTTGAGACATACTCTTCAATTTTCCATAAATTTTATTTGAAACGCAGGGGCAATCTCTTTACCACGATACATCTGTGACCAGCTATAGTTTTGAAGACCTTATTTATGCGCGAAGGTATGTAATTATTGAGTAATCGTGTGTAGCGGTACTTTGACAAATTTAGCATCATCTCAATAATTTTTGTAGCTGCTCCGCGGCGTCACTTGTGTCGAGCAACGTCACAGGCAAAGTCGTATTGTGCTATGCACCAGCCCCGCCTCGGTTATCACTCTTTACAGCCATCAACTTCACCGTGGCAGCCGGCGCCAGGGGGCTAATCTTCGCGCAGCATGCCGACAACGACCTTGACACCCTGGACGTGTGCGATGGTATCATGCCTTGCGTGCTTGTTGATTTCGAGATCGCTCAACGAATCCTATCGTACTGGCGCCTCACAGGGTGCGTGTATATTAGCCTGCACAAACAGGATGAAGAAGACTATCTCACTTAATTACTTAGATTTCTTCTGGAAGAGTTCTTACCCTGATGCCTTGTGTCATGCTAGGAATCCGGTGGTGAAAGTGTCCCCTGCCATGACCGTTGTGGGCAATAAGGTGTTGTCACCGAGGGTCGCCTCTTTCTCGTCAAGAGGACCTAGCCCCTTGTTCCCTGGCACACTTAAGGTGCTCCCTATCTACTTTAGTTAGCTCCGTCCATCAGCCCTAATAGACTGGAGTACCTACTTGCAGTGCTTTTTTACTTACCTACCCTTCCTTGAAATGCAGCCTGACATAGCTGCACCCGGAGTTAGCATACTGGCGGCCGTGCGAGGATCCTACATGTTACTGTCTGGGACGTCCATGGCATGTCCTCATGTGTCGGCGGTCATCGGGCTGCTCAAGTCAGTTCACCCTGATTGGTCGCCTGCAATGCTCAAGTCCGCTATCATCACCACCGGTAGATGCACTCACGAAAAGATAATATTCACTCCTTCCAAAATAATGGCTAACCTTATCCTTGTTTTTTGGGGATATGATAATTGTTGCAGCATCAGTGGTTGATCGTTTTGGTATGCCGATCCAAGCAGAAGGCGCCACAAGGAAGCTTGCCGACCCCTTTGACTTCGGCGGTGGCCATATGGACCCAAATAGGGCTGCCGACCCCGGCCTGGTCTATGACGTGGACACAGGAGACTACATCAAGTTTTTAAAGTGCACCCAGCTTGGATTATCACTAGACGAATGCGAGCAAAACCAGCTCCACCTCAATCTCCCGTCAATTGTGGTGCCAAACCTCAAGGACTACGTTCTGGTCCGACGCACTGTCATGAACGTCGGGCCAATGGAAGTGACTTACCGAGCAGTGGTTGAGGCTCCAGCTGGAGTAGCATTCTCTGTTGTGCCATCCGTGATCAGTTTCACCAAAGGTGGTACCAAAAGCATGATGTTCGAAGTGGCTTTCACGGCAAGGCAGAAGGTGCAGGGTGGGTACACCTTCGGGAGCTTGACATGGCAGTCGGTTGCAACTACCCACTTGGTGAGAATTCCCATTGCAGTACGAACCGTGATACAAGATTTTGTCGCGGATACTTCATAAATCCATCAGTAGTTGTTGTTCTTCCTATGTTCTCGTACTTAACTTAGAAGAAATATATTTTGTACATTATTGCTAAGAAATACGGTCTATTAAAGTACAATCGCACACATTTTTTTTCTGAAAGTTTGGGTCTATTTTTTTTCTATTGGTTTCAGGTGCACATATATTTGTATGACTTCAGAAGATTGCATATATGATACACACTTACCTATTTGTTTTCTCATTGTTTTCATAACTTTTCAGCCTATCTTTTTTATCTTCCTTGACCCCGTATGGCTCTTTCCATTTCATCTATTTTCATTGAAATAAAAGTTGTGTCTGGATTTGTTTGAAAAATAGAATGAGCTAGCTTTCTTTCATGTTGTGTTAATTATGATGGTGTTAAGTACATGGGCGTGGGTTTTCAAATTGAAAATCAACATTAAGTAAATACAAGTGCACCATAAGTTAGGCTATGTAGATAACAAACACAATAGAATATAATTGTCATTGATACTGAATAGCACACCTCAAGCAGTTCAAAACCTCTTTTAATGAAGTTTTACCCCCCCCCCCCTTCCCCCCACACACACTTTTACTTAATGGCTGATGGGTCCAAACTCAGGTGGATGAATCACAAGTAGTATAACACCTTTGGTGGACAAGTCTAGATTAATCACCACAGAGGTTGGGCTTTAGAGAACCAAACCAGTGCAAGTTGGACTAACCTCAAAGGTTCCAACGAACAGTTTGAGCCACCCACCTAACAGGTGAGAATCTAAGATCATTTAGCACATTTTTCGTTAGGGATACAACCCATGCAAGGTGGGTTGCTAATCTATTGTTTCATCGTCATGCAGTCGGGACCCCGGTGAGAACTACTCTCTTTTTTAAAGGCGCCCAGTGAGAACTCTATACTTCACAACGTTATCATCGCTGCTACCACTAAGGGCATGGCCAATATTCGGATCATGGTATATCTCAAGTGTGCCTGTGCGACCGTAATTCCAGTTACCTTGTATCATGAGTTTAGTAACTGATTCGTTTGTTCACTAGGCGGATCACCCTAAGATTATGGAACTCCTCCTCACAAGATTACATTCCACTCTTTGGTCCTACTTCTACGTTGCCACAACGTGGTCATCTACACAATTAAGGTTGTTAAACCAGAACTATGCATTATGTTCGGTGGTTCACCATTATCTCATATTATCTTCGATCCTTGTAGATGTCTCCACCTATCACCTGAAGGGCACGGATTCACTAAACAATAGGTGTTATCTGTGTAGGTCATTAGGTCATGTTGCATGGGCCCTTAAATTAGACAACACGCACAGTGATCACCATATTATAACTACTAATTACTAGACAAATTATAAGACCAAAAACACAAATGACGGCATATAAAATAGGCACAAATGGATCTTACTATTTACCAACATCTCCCACGCCTATGGGGAACTACTCACACATTGAAAGAGAATTGCCAATCATCATAGAGAATAATTCTGTCAATACCATATCAATAATACTGTGAAGACCCACAATAAAATAAATGATTCAACAAGTCTCTGTCTCCAAATGAGTATGAATAGAGTTATACACCCCGATATTACAACTTTTAATTCCTCTTACAACAGTGATGATGAAATGTAACGAATATAGAGGTGGAAGAACATAGCAAGAAAGATCTTTGGCGGTTCTTCTTCTATCTCTTCTCTCTTTCTTCTGGATGGAGCGGCTAGGTCTCTCTCGTGCCCATGTGTGAGACCAGGTGCAGCGACATGTCTGTGCCATACCCATTTGGCATGGGGACGTATTACTGCTACCTGCCGAGGTTCAAGTTGTCCACTAGCTCGCCACTGCACTCGGCCACTCGTTGCGTCAGATCTCTGCTATCAGCCGAGACGAAGGCTGCAGGAGGAATCGCGGTGGTCGTCGTGCCAGTCATGGCTGTGGTGAAGTTGACCTCGACATGCGTGGAGTGCGGGCTTTCAG